ACAATAGCCCTTCCAACTTCCTTTTCCCCTCTATAAAAGACTTTCTCCTCCCCTTCTTGCAGAGCACTTGCACATGGCTTGCCATGGTCGCATACCAGGAATTACAATTCTTTGCTGATGCTGAATAAACCCATTTTTGCTGGAGAAATAACTGGCTATTTATTTAAGGTCGACAATAGTCATTCTGGCTTTCTTTTGATTAGTCTTGACATATCTTTTTCTATCCTTTTACTTCTTTGTTTTTTTAAAGATTTTATTATTTTTATTTTTTATTTTTCCTTCTTCTCCCCAAAGCCCCCAGTACATGGTTGTATATTTTAGTTGTGGGTCCTTCTAGTTGTGGCATGTGGGATGCCGCCTCAGCATGGCTTGATGAGCGGTGCCATGTGTGAGCCCAGGATCCAACCTGGCAAAACCCTGGGCCCCAGAAGTGGAGCTCATGAACTTAGCCACTCGGCCACGGGGCCGGCCCCATCCATCCTTTTACTTTTAGCCTTTTTGTGTTTTTATATCTAAAGTGGGTTTCTTGTAGGCCACAGGGCAATCTTATTTTTAATATCCAATTTGACAATCACTCCCTTTTAATTGGGGTTTTTAGGCCCTATGATTATCGATATGGTTATGTTTATATCTACCATCTTGACAATTGTTTTCTATTTTTCCAATCTGTTTTTAGTATCATTCCTCCTTTTGTTCTGCCAACACTTGCATTAGTTGTGTGTTTAAAATTCTATTTTATCTCATTTGTTGGCTTATTAGTTGTAACTCTGTCATGTTATTTTAGTGTTTGCTTTAGAGTTTATAGTATATAAACTTATACTTTATTTAGTATATCTTTAAGATATCACAGTGTGCCTTCAAACGATTTCATACCACTTCACATATAACATAGGAACTTTACAACAGCATACTTCAGTTTCTCCCCTCCTGGCTTCTGCTCTCTTGTTTTCACACATTTTAATTCTGCATATGTTATAAACTCCACAGCACATAGTTATTACTTTTTATTTAAACAGTCAATTATCTTTTAAAGAGATGTAAATAATAAGGGAAAAAAGCTGCCATGCTTACTCATGTGATTCCCATTTCCTGCAGTCTTCGTTCCTCTGTGTCGATCCTTGGGTTTGTTGCTGTTATAGTTACCCTAAGCACACCACACACTTCAAATTCCTCAGGTGTCACCTGTGCTTAGAGCATGGCCTGTTTGCCCAAATGTTTCTCTCAGTCTCTGCTCCACCCTCAGCTTTAGGTTTCCCTGCAGTATGCTGGAGAGTCTCTCCGTGCTCTGGTAGCTCTGCCAGCAGGCAGTATTCCTCTTACTTGTTAGTCAATGCTGCTAGTCAGCCTGGTGTTTGGGGGAGGGGAGGAGGCTGAGGGGTAAGGTGCTCTGTTCTGCCACATCTCCGTCTCGTAGGCACTATGTCCCTGGGTCTTTGGGGTGTGACCTTCAAAGCATTTCTGTCCCTCCCTCAGCAGTAGTTCTGGGCCCAGCACATATTCCTGCTGCCCCGCAGGATCAGAGGTTTGGTTTTTACTCTGTTATCTTCCCCCAGCTGTAGTTGGATTTACCAACCCCCTAAGGGTGTAAATGTTTCTTGCCCTTCCTCCAGCAGTTGGCTCTGTTTTTGTTCTGTGGGAGAGATGGGGCAATAGCCTCTGAGCATACTTTCATACCTTTCCCAGAGCAACGGATATTCCCCATCCCTGGGTCTGTGCCAGGAAGGAGGCTTTCCCAGGACTCTTGCTAACCTTTTTTTTTTGTGAGCGCCCAGTGAGGTCATTGGAGAAAAGTCTGCAAGTGGATGCAAATTTCCCTTATGTCTCTGGTCCCCAGGATTTCTATTTTCTCTTGCAAACCACACTAGACCATTAACAATTTTAGCTGAATTCTCCCTCCCAGTGTATGGATGGCAGTGCCTGCCCCAGGCAGGCAAGTGCTGAGTCCCATTTCTCTTTCCTTCCATTTCAGGTTAGACAGTTGCCTTGTGAACTCAGCTCTCTCATGAATTCAAGAAAAGTTGTGAATTTGCATATTTTCCAGATTTTATCATCTTGCAGGTGTGGGGATGGAACTCTTTCTAGTTTTCTACATCTCAAGCAGAAGATATTATTTTTAACAGCTTCATAGAGTTCCACTATATGTCAGCACAACACTTTATTAACCAGCTTTTTATTATTTAATATTATATTTGTTATCTGTTGTTGCTTAACAATGACCCCAAAACTTAGTAGCTTAAAACAACAAACATTTATTATCTCATGGTTCTCTAGTAATGAATTCAAGAGCAGCTTAGCTGGGTTCTTCTGGGTCCAGGCTTCTCATGACGTTTCAGCCAAGACATCAGCTGGAGCAGAGGCCATTTGAAGGGCTGGAGCATATACTGCCAAAGTGGCTCATTCACAGGACTGTTGGCGAGAGGCTTCAGTTCCTGCCACACGGGTCTCTCCATAGGGCTGCTTCAGTATCCTCTCAACATGGTGGCTGGCTTTTTCCACAGTGAGTAATCCGAGAGAGAATGAGGAAGAAGCCAAAATGCTTTTCATAACCTAGTTTTGAAAGTCTGTTATCATCACTTCCACCGCATTCTATTTATTAGAGTCATGAGTACAGCCCACACTCAAAGGGAGGGTAATTTGACTCCACTCTTTGAAGGGAGGAGGATCAATTTGGGGGTAAATTTTAACACTATCACAGACATTTGGGTATTCCCTATCTCCCACTACTTGTTTTCCCATTAAAACTAATGTTAAAATGGACACCTGTACATATATCTTTGTTCATGTGTATATCATTAAAATAAATCCCAAAAGTGGAATTGCTGGATCAAATCATATACATATTTTAAAATTTTGATAGCTGTTGCAAATTGTCTTATAAAAAGCTAGCACTAATTTACACTCTCACCAATAGTGTATGAGAATACTGGCTGTGAGGTCCAAATGAGGCCATGTCTGCTAAGCATGCCCTTAATGTTAGCGCCTTTCTGAACCCTGTGGCCCGGCGAGCTCTGTCAATGCATCCTCCCTGCCGTGCATGGCTCCTCCGCGCCTCTGAGCCTGTGCAAGACCAGGACGCCCTTCTCCTTCTTCTCACCTGGACAAAATGCTTGCTCCAGGAGACCCAGCTCAGACATCCCCCCTTCCCTGACTGCATCACGAAGAGTCAGTGGCAGGGTTCTGAGCCCCCATACTACTTGTCACACCATGTTGTGATGATCTGTTTCCACGTCTGTCTCCCCCAACCGGACTGAGAGTTTCTCACTCACCTTTGTACCTCCCTGGTCTCTCCCGGTGCCAGCACCTTCCTTATGACGGGGTTGCTCAGGAAATGGGTGTTGAATGAAATGAGTGAATACGTACACAAATAAATAAATGTTCTTACAGTCAAATGGAAGAATGTCGGTTGGAAAATAATTCAGGTAGAAGGAAATAAAATTTCTTATAGATTCGGGAAAAACTTTATTGTATTGTGCAAATAATAAATATTGTAGTCTACAAACTTGAAACTTACTCTGTCAAGAAAGATACTTTGTTGTTAGGAGAGGAGGCATGAGAGGGTGGCCACACAACATAGCTGAACTTTCTGAAAAATTTCAAACTCTCTGCTGGACAATGGTGCCAAGGAGCCCCTCCCTGACAGCCTGTCCCTTAGTCTCTGCCCTTTTTTGGTCATGCATTCAAAGGGCTTCTTTATGAACAAAGTGAGACACTTATTTCTGTTTTTCTTAAACTCTAAAGTGGTTTTCTCGAGTCTCATGGGAGCCACTCCTCTCGGTGTTTGTTGACCCACTCAATTCCAGAAACACATCAGGAGACCGAAGACTGAGCCAGATCCCATGTCCATTGAAAAGTGACCCTAACAATTCCCAAACTGACTAAACCCAAAACTAACTCTAAAACCAAGTAACTCCAGAGTTCAGAGTGCTGGTTATTGGCTGTGATTTCTCAGCTTCCAGCCCGCCCTTCTGTTCTCTGCATCCTGGTGTGGGGCCACTTGCCTCCTTTGCCAGCTGCTCCCGGTCAGGCTTGGCCCATCGCACAGCCTGACCAGAGGCTGGAGGAGAGGAGAGGGACCCTGTGTGCCCAGGTTCCTGTCAGCATTCCCCTAGCCACTGCTCTTCACCCTGACAGCAACAGTTGGTTCCAGTAGCTGCAGTTTGCCATTCTCCCAACACTTCCATAATCAGCCTCATCACACCTCCTCAGACACCAGCACCAGCTGGCAGGGCCCCCCCTCAGAGTTCTGCATCCAGATCCCCAAGGCCTTCGAGCTCCTGGGGCTCCTGTCCCACCGGGCAGTGCCTCCTCCTCAGAGGGAGCGCCTGAGCCATGCAGGCCACCTCCAACCTCCTCCCTTTGTTCCCTCAGCCTTGGGCTGGCAGCTGCTTCTTGCAGTTAAAATCTCCATGACATCTTATTATCACTTTTGTTTTCCTTTTAAAGTCTCCAATAGCTGAATAACAATTCTTTATATTAAATTCTCTCTGTTAAAGTAACTGGTATGGTGTCTCTCTCTTGACTGAATCCTGACTGATAGACTAAGTAATTCTAATACTAAATACTAAATAATCCGGAAAATAAGTAAATCTGCAAATGGAATAAGAAAAAATACAGAACAGAAAAAAATTTTAAATGGCAAAGACACAATTGAAAAGAAAAAACTGAGAATAAGTAACTCCGAATATAACTCAACTATGAAAATTTAAAAATTCAGAAAATATGTTCAAAATGAAATAACTAAAAGTGAACTAGTTTAACGCCAAACCACAAAAAAAACCTTTAAAAACTAACTACATAAAAGTAACCCAAAATATAAAATAACTAAAATAAATAACTGAGCATAAGTAACTCTAAGTAACTAGGATAATATAACCTAAATATCTCATAAGTTAACTTGTAACCAACCTGCTCTGAAACGAAACAACCCTGGAACAAAGTAATAAAAGCATCACTTGAACATTCTCCTGGGGATGGGGGCGGGCGGGGGGGGGGGGGGGGGGGGGGGAGGCCGGGGGAGGAAGAGCGCCGGGTAGGGGTGGGGGCAGTCTTCGGCCCATGTTGGGTTTGAGTCGCTCAGGCTCCACCAAGGCTCGATAAGAGGTTCTCAACCCATTTCCCCTCAAACCCCACCCCAGGAGAAATTAGGCAACGTCTGAAGGCATTTTTGATTGTCACAATTTGGGCGAGTGGGCGGCGGAGTTATTGGCATCTAGTGTGTAGAGGTCAGGGATGCTGCTAAACATCCTACAATGCACAGGACAGCCCCCACAACAAAGAACGATCCGGCCGGGTCAAAAGTTCCAACGTTGACAAACCCTGGCCTCAGCCCTCCAGGAGGGGGCTCCACCGCCTGCGCAGGCGCGGGCACGCAGCCGAGGGTCTCCGCGGCCGGCTCCAGGATGGGTGGGCTCCGCGGGCGGGACGTGGGCGGCTCCTGAGGCTCCGGAAAGCTGCCCTGCGCCCCCTGCCCCGGCTGCAGGTCCGCGGGCTCCGAGGCCCGTCTGCTGCTTTCCGCTTAAGGGTGGGCCCGGCCTCGGCGCCCCAGCAGCCTGTCCCCGGAATGAGGACGGCCTGGGGCGGCGCGGCGGAGCCGGGGAGCCGCGGGTGTCGCGAACAAGTGTCAGTTCTCTGGGGAGGGGGGCCTCGGGCATCCTTCCCTCGCCCGCACTGCTTTTGCCCAGAAACTAGTCGTCTCCCCCAGGGGCGAGCAAGCGAGTGGACACCCCAAGCTCTCCTCAGTTTTGTTTGTTGCCCCGAAATTCCAAGAAGAAAGTCAGAGAAGCCATGGCTGACATTCGCTTACTGTCCTTTCCTCTTTCACACTCAGGTTTCCTCTTCATCGTCGTCTCTCTCTCCCTGGATGCTTTCTCCCGTTTCCAGAGCAGATTTGGAGGAACAGCCTTCATAACTGTCGTCCAACTGGAAAAGTCCCGAGAGCTGGAAGGGAGGGGACAGTGGTGCACCCTCAGAGTTAGCAGTGCGGGAGTGCCCCGGCCCGGGACACAGGGATATTCCCACTGGCAGGGCAGGGCCCACCCCAGCTCTCCACCGGGTCACTGAGGATCCCAGCAGGAGCCCCCTAGTCATGACCAGAAACTGGTGCTTTGCTAAGGAAATGAGTGATGTGGGGCATGCTGGGCTGGAAGGGGCTGAGCCACTCTGCAGAGCCAGTGACCTCAGCCTCCCGGATTAGGCCAAATCCTTACGGATAAGAATCAGGAACAGGAGGGAGGGGTAAGCGGGAGCGGAAGAGGAGGCAGGAGAAGCTGATGACTAGGAGCCAGGGAGAGTATGAAAGAGGGAAGAAGGAAATAAATTACACTCAGAGCACTGCTCTCCTTTTCCATATCTTCTGCACCTTCGCAATCGTCAAAAGTTTCCACGGAGAGAAACTCCCTGCCGGAGCAGCCTTGGGGAAAGAAGGGAAGAATTTGGGCCCGCTGTGGGGGCGAGGGGGGGAGGGGCCCTGCTGCCCATGGCAGGATGTAGCAGGCAGTGTCTTTCGGAGGAAGCCATTCTCCCATCTCTAACCCTGCCCCCCAGGACCTGGGCTGCTTCACCTGGGGGTGGGGGTGGGGGGTTGATCTCCAGGTTCCCTTTCGCAGCTCAAGATCCTCTAACTCTGACTGAGAAGACGTGTCTGCAGGGTGTTCATGGCCCTACCTTCTTGTCCTCCAAGAAAACACTCATTGTCTTTTGTGCTTGACCACCGTCCTGCCTTCCCTCCTTCCTTCTTCCTTCCCACCCTCCTCTCTCCCCGCCTCAGTTCCTCTGCCCTGATTACTGCCCATCTCCCATCTCGTTTGCAGCCCCTGCCATGTGTCAAGCTCTCCCCGTGGGAAAACTAGAGGGAGGAGCACATCGTGCCTCTCTCCAGAGAGTTGATTCATTAACCAATCAGTCGGCTGCTCTGGGCCTGCCGGGATGTCAGCCGTTTGTCAAAGTTTAGTCTCACACAACCCTGTAAGGGCCTCAGCCCCATTTTACAGCCGAGGAACTGAGATGAGAGGGGATGCTCACTGGGCCCAGTTCCCTGGCCTGTAAGCACTGGGGCGGGATCCTGTAGCATTCCTGCTCTTTACCCCACACGCTAAGTCAGACAGTGTCTCTGCTGCGCCCTGCTCCCCAGTCAGCGCAGGGAGGCGGCAGGCGAGGCTGCCCCAGCTGCAGGTCAGGGAGTGATCCATCCTGCAGGAACCTGAGCCGGTGGAGAGAACTTCTCCTGGGGGAGAATTCAGGGGAGGGTGGGAGGAGGCCCTGAAGGTGGGCAGGGGTGGGGAGGGAGGGCATTCTGGGCAGGGAAATGGCCGAGGAGAGGGAGCAGGAGGAGCCTGCTGTTGGGCACAGTTGTCTCAGAAGCAGGTGGTGAGCAAGCGGCACCCCACAGGTGCTGCCCACAGGCCCCTAGGCTGCTTCTGGGGCCCGGGACCTCCCCAGAGCAGGTCTGTTTGAGCAACACGGGGCGGGGGGGGGGGGGGGGGGGTGGAGGGGGTGATACCTGCCCTGATATCAGTTTCCGTACATTAAACCCAGCATATGTAGGGTTAAAACCAAAACACTCATTCCCTGCTTACTCCCTGGCTTCCTGGCTTCAGAATCCACTATCCTCCATGGAGACAGACACCACCAAGGACAAGCATCTGGATTCTACAGGCTGGTGGGAAAGCTGCTGACCAGCAAGGTCAAGGGCTCCCTCCTCTCTGCAAGTAGTCTCAAGGCCAAAGACAGGCTGGTGGGAAAGCTCCAACCAGCAAGGCCATATGTCTCCCCCTCCCCTACCTAAAACCCCAGATAAAAATCCTTCCTTTTAGCTTTTCAAGGAGTTTGGGATTTCAGTGCTAGCTGCCCCTCTCCTTGCTCAGCACTGTGCAATAATAAAATTCCTACTTTCTTCCACTACCCCCAGTGTCAGAGATTGGCTTGCTGCGCAATGGGTGAGTGAACTCATTTCAGGTTCAATATCAGGGGCAGCCAGGCAGCCCCCTCCTCGAGGCCTCCAGAAACCCCACCTGAGCCTGAGGGTTTCTGGGCAGAGGGACACAGTCCTCTCAGACTGAAGCAAAGCCTGTTCAATTCGGATCCCAGGACGTGGTAGGGGTGAGGCGGGGAGGGCAGGGGAGAAATGGCTCAGGGAGGTGCCTCCCACCGCCCTCCTCCAGATGTGACTTGGGGCATCCACAGTCACCCCCAGAGATGCCTCTTTCGGACTGTAATCCCACCTGGGCCCCTTACTCCAGGGGCGGACAGTGAGGATGGAGGGGTGGCGGTCCTGCCAAAAGGCTGTGAGGGAGGAAGGGAAAAGCACACCCTTGACCACCCAGCACGTGAACGGAAGGGCCACGTCCCCGGGGTCCGTGGCCTCAGCGCCCCAGGCAATGCCGGGTGCCAAGGACCTGAGAGCCACTGCAGGAGGCCGAGGGTAGGCCTGGCCCTGAGGCCTCCATCAGCCATAGGACACCCCCAGCCTGGGGTGGGCAGGGCTGGGAGGCAATGCTGGAATGGAGAGACCTGACAGCAAGGCCCAGCCACTCCACAGGGTAGGTGGCACCCGGGTAAATTGATGACCTGGTGCTGCTGCTGCTCCCCTCTCTCCTGTGGGCCCTGCAGGAGCAGGAGGGGACTTCAGCCCCACACAGGGCTGGCACAGAGGCGCTGTCACATGCTTGGCAGGTTGAACGCATTATTTCAGGGTCATCTGGGTTGTTTCCTGCCTCCAGGTAAGGATTTGCCTGAGCTGGAAAGAGGAGTGATGCTCCCAGTACTGTCAAGACCGTCAGCATAGGTGGCCTCCTGGGCCCTGGTACCACAGGCTAGGGTGGGGGCTGCCTGGGGCCCCAGAGACCCCCAGGTTAGTCTAGAGCAAGGGGTTTCCATACTCTTCACAATGCACCCACAGGGAGGTGCACATTTTACATTCTAACACAGTGGACACGTAAATACATTATAAAATTAAAACAAAAGTTTATGGAACAATACTACTTACAATGTGTGATGTTCTCATCTATTGTGTTCCATTATTTTGTTCTGTCCTGTTCTATTCTATTCTATTCCATTCTATTCTATTCTGTTCTATTGCGTTCTATTCTGGGAGACAGAGGAGGAGTGGGGCTGTGGGAGGTGGTGTCACCCACAATCTGCTCATAAGACCCTTCGAGGGAGACAAACTGCATCTGCCCTGGGTGTGCCGTTTTCTGTACTTTTGTCATTTCCATATTTAATTCCTTCTTACATTCACTGGCCATGGGCTCTGTGGTACTAAGAGTCTCAGGTACTAAGTCTTAGGTACTACAGAGGTGGCAGCACTGAGGGTTCCCCAGAATCTCGGGCCCAGGGTCTGGGGGTCACCAGCACATGAGTGAATAAATGAGAGGCCCATTGCCTGGTGGTAGGAGCAGGGGCTTTGGAGTGGGTCAGACCTGAGTGCAATTCTGACCTTGCTCCTCATTCACTAGCTGTGTGATCTTGGGTAAGCCACTTAACCTCTCTGAGCATCAGTTTCCTTGTCTTTAAAATGGGGATCATAAGATCTATTTTGCAGTGTTGGTGCAAAAATGTTTATAAAGTAAAATGTCTGGTACATCCTAAGAATTTAACAAGTAACACCTATAATGATTACAGTTAATAGTAATTACGATAATACTACAGAGAAGTTCTCAGAACAGCTCAGGCGCTACATGTGTACTATTCTTACTCACATTTGGGGGAGATCTGTCTGCCATTGTCTTCATCCTCATAAACATCTGGGGGAGAAAACACGTTAAAAAGGTAATAAGCTACTTTAAAAGGAAACACAGAGCAAACAGACAGACAGACACACACACACCCAGGAAAACCAAACCAAACACATAGGCACTTGATAAGTAATCAATTTGATTACAGCAAAGTTTTAAGTGATCATTGCATTCTTGGAAAACGAGCAGAATTGGTACCAGCCAGTGTCCAGCCGTGTGTTGGGAAGACCCAGCCTGAGTCTCGGGGGCACTCCCAGTCCATGTGCCAGAAGCAGCATATGCAGTGGTGAAGGACGAGAAGGATGGGAAAGGTGGGCTGTGAAAATTCGTGCTGATAAGGACGGGGGCGTATTCTCTTTTCCCTCAGTGGATGATCTTTACAACACACATCACATCAATCCTAAATGGTTTAGGGAATTTAGTTTTAGCCCTCAGTATTTAGAATTATAAGTTTTTATTTTGCTTTAAAAAAACGGAATGAAATTTGTTAACCAGTGAACCCATTAGTGAGTTTAAGTTATCCTTATCAGAATAGTATATGTTTTTGGTAAATTAATGGACTTTGAAGACAAAATCATGGCTTTTCCCTTGCTGTCCACTAGATGGCACAAAGGGACCACTAGAGATCCCGCTAGTTCAGAAGCTGCTCTTACCCCATAGATTTCACATGGGCAAAACTATTTTTATTTTTTTTCAAACTAGATTTTTCTCCGTTCCTTATAATTATGCAAAACTTTTTAAGGACCGTCTCTATCACAGGAACTAAAGTTCATCATTTTCACTGGGGGGTTGGGGCGGAGAGCTGCCATATAGTAATGCCTGAGCCCCTGGCTTTCCTTCCCTTCCCGCAGAGGAGCGAACGTGGGGGACCAGTTGCTAATGATAATATGCGAACAGCGATCTAGGCACAGCCTAAGAGCTTCATCTCATTTAATTCTCACAGCAAGACTATATGGTATTACCTCCATTTTGTGAAATAAATGATGAAAAGAACTTAAGCACAGAGGCGAATTCATATAAAGGGTGAGAGCTGAATTTGAGCTGGGGTCTGTAAGCCCTTAGTGCTGAGCCCTTAAATGTGCTGTGCTGCTAACCAGGTTCTTTATGTGCCTTCTAAGAGTTAACCCAAGGGGTCACTTTCCGCCTAATGCATCCCAGTTATTTCACCAGAGCTCATGACAGGAGAGATCTCTAGGATGTTTCCATGGGTACTGGGCTCAATTAGGATCTTTTGCTTGGTGGCCCAGAGTGTAAACCGAGACGTCTAGACTGGTCTATACCTGAAGTGTCCATTACTTTTGCAAAGGTCTGTCTTTGGCCAAGAGGAAGCAAATCACTCCTAAGCATTCAATTATTTGCTTTCAGATTCCACATATTCTCGCAACACCCCTCCCACCCACACCCCTTTTTTTTAAGTGCATTTTACGTGTCCAAGTCCCTGTCAGCTTCTAGGGCAGTCTAAGCTTGCTGTCTTATGCTTTCAGAGCTGCTAGGAGCTGAGGTCAAAGAAACTTCACAACTGGGAAACCACTTCCTAGCTCGGCAACCAGCTGCACACAGATGCTCTGGTGGCAACAGGCCCACAGGTAGTTAGGTGGAGGACAAGTTGATGTGTCTAGTTGGGTTCAGTCAAAGCCTTGCCCATTGCATCAGAGACTTCATGGGAATTTTTCAGTAAGACTAAAATATAAAGCCCCCTAGACTGTTTGTGTAGTATGGCTCCAATTTAAAGAAAAAAAAATCATGCATTTCTATAGACAAAAAGTCTGGCATAAAATATTTACAGTGGTTATGTCTGGTTATGTCTAATTTGCAGTTTTATGTGTACTTTTCTGTATTTTCGAAATTTTTGACAATCTACCTATGTATTTTTTTTTTATAATCAGAAAAGGAAACTTAAAATAGTGAAAACCAATTGGTCAGATATCTAAAATAACCCATAGGGGCTGGCCCGTGACCAAGTGGTTATGTTTACGTGCTCTGCTTTGGTGGCTGGGGTTTGCTGGTTCGGATCCTGGGTGAGGACCTATGCACTGCTCATCAAGCCATGCTGTGGTGGCATCCCACATAGAAGAACTAGAATGACCTACAACTGGGATATACAACTATGCACTTGGGCTTTGGGGAGGAAAAAAAAAAGAGGAACATGGACAACAGATGTTAGCTCAGGGCCAATCTTCCTCAATAAATAAATAAATTAATTAACTAATTTAGGTAAATAACCCACAATCTCACCAGAGAAGACTGCTAGAACTTATTTTCTTCATTCAGACAGTGTATGAAATAATTTTGAATAACAATAAAGTAATAATAAAAATAAGGAAAGTAACTAAATTATCTAGGCCAGAAAGGAAATCCTGCAAAAATCAGCAAATACACAACCCTTATGTACTACATTAGAGGGTTCATTGGTATTAAAGCAGCACCCCCATCCCCAAGAGGCTGAGGGACCAGACAAGGGCCCCACAGTTGGGCCTGCACGGAGGCCTGTGGCTCTCAGAGGTTAGCAGACAGGCTCTCCTTCTGTTACCTTTGTGGCAGAATGGTTTTCATGTTTTATGTATCTTTCAATAGCCAGAGCTTTGCAAGTCAGGGACAAAACTGAATTCAGAGTTCAGAATTCTCAGCACAATCCAAGCTAGTAAAATACTATGAGCGTAACTCCTTTCTATTAACCAATAGCATGAGAAATAGCATACTCATCTGTTCTGTGGCTGTCCCATCACGAAACTGCTTGGGTTCTTAGGCGAATTCTCACCTTACCACTTTCCCCCGCCCAGGCCCTATTGCTACCGGCATGAGGAATCCTATCACTCCTTGTCCTCGTGCCAGCAGACCAGCAGGCAAAGAAGGCAGTTGCCACACTGGAGGAAGTAACCGATCCCTATCAACAGGAGGAGGTGGAGCTGCTACCTGATAGAGGCAGAGAGGAGGGTGTCTGGCGCTCAGGTGAGCCACTGGGACATCTTCCAATATTCCCATGCCCAGTTGTAACTGTAAATGGAAAGTAAAAGAACAATAGCGTGACGAGAGTCTGGGACACCCACTATGCATGCCACCAGCAGAAGTGCCAGATGAGGGGGAGAAGGATCTAGAACGAGTGGGAGGGAGATGATGACTTAAAGGTACAACCTAAGAAGCAACTGCAGCAGCAGGTAGCAGACATAGAGTTACGTCCAGTAGGACTCTTACTATGTCCCCTGGCGGAAATACCCCCCTTGGGAACCATGACCTCTAGACCCACTCAGGCCAAAGTTGCAGGGATGGAGAAGACAAATTCCCCCTCTGGGTGCCTAGGAGTGTAATAATGAATACGGTCACAACTCATTTGACCTCTTGACTCCCAGATTCATATATTCTGCCTCCTGGGAGCACGGTGCCATAAAATGGCTGTTGGTTTAGAGCGTATACTGCATTCTGAAGGTTAGCACCCCATTCCTGCAGTGTCATATCCAAATTGCTTCAAGAGGCTGTTCCATGGCTCTATGAGGCTGGCAACCTCTGAATGGGGCGGTGTGGGGTAGGACCAGTGGGTAGGTCCTGTGGTCATATGCCCACAGCTGTTCCTTTTGCATAGAGCAAGTCCCTCCACTAAAGCAATGTTCTATGGTTGATCAGACACCACGTGAGTCCTCACATAGTGATGCTGACTGAGGCACTGTGGTCATGAAAGACACATGTGTCAACCCCGCTCAGGATGGGTCAGTGTACTTTCCAGCCTGGAGGGGTCTGATGAAATCAACTGTTCTCCCCAAGGAATAGTACCAAACTAGGGGCTCAGCATCTACCCCTGTGCTGGAAGGTTGGACAGTCAATGGTGGCAGTAGCTAGATCAGTCTTGATGACAGGGAGCCCACACTGCTGGGCCCATGCACAGCCTCCCATTCTGCTGCCAAGGTTTCTCCATTTATGCAGGCACTGGAGTGCCAAGGAAGAAGCTGGCTGACACCTGCTGGTCAAGTCATCCAGTCACCTTAGTTGTTTGGTACCTTCTCTGCAATGGATGTTCTCTGGTGGGTGCTGAAGCACCACACAAAGATCCTCACATTTTGAGCTCATGTCCAGAGGTCTGTGTGCCTCTTCCCCAGTTAGATCAGTTATAAATTGATGGTAGTTATTGTTCTGGAAGGGGTCAGGAAGGGAGGTGGGGACGCATCCTGAGAAGGGCAAGCATTGTCTTGTATGTCTCATCTGAGGCTTCTGCATAATCTTAGGGGGAGGAGAAGGGTCGATGTCCCAACAAGGGGGAGTGGGTCACTTCTGCCATTCTAGGGGAATCAAGGGCATGCACCTAGATATCCTCATTTCAAGTTTGAGAGTCCCACATCCTCGCTATCGGGGTCTAACTTGCCTGTTCATCTACTGGCTCCAGGAGCCCCAAGTGATCAGGCAGCAGACTTGCCTAAGCTGAGAATTCATCCTTCTCTCAAGCACTGCCCCCCCGCTGTGGGAGATAAGGGGGTGAACATCGGCAAGGAGGTCCTCTGATTTTCTCATTGTGCTTTAAATTGGTGATTAATCTGAGCCTGTCACTTTCTTCACTCTCCTCAATGCATTGGTAGTGCTTAGCAATAGACTCCCAATTCCATGGTCCTGATAGCTGATATTTCCCCCAAAACTTCTCAAATGAAAGGGACATTACACCAGCTGGTGCATCCGTTCTGCCTATATCTGACCCTGGGTCACCACAGGTGAAGGTCTTAGCAACTGAACTGCTACAGCAGGCCAGGGACCAGGACTCTCAACACCACCTACCACCAGTGAGGGGATCCTCACTGCCATGAGTCCAGCAAGTGACCCAGCACCAAATCCCATCCTTTCTAGGACCTCTCCTGGTACTAACGGTCTTGGTCTGCTCTCCCAGGAGCAGACTGTGCAAGTGAGTCATGGAGACAGGGCTTTCAGATGAAGCCTATAAGGCACTGAGGGCAGAAGACAGGGCAGAAAAGAACCAAGCGAAGACGTGGCTTCAGCTGAAGTCTAGCACCAGCCTGATCCCCTGAGAAACCCTAGAGCATGGATGGCACCACTAGTGTCCCATCTTGAGGCAGAGGGGCAGGCTTTTGTACCACTGGCTGCTGTAAGTTGCCCTTGAGGAAGGCTATGACCTCTCAGGCATTTCCTGGCTGGACAGCTCTGGTCAGCTGTGGGCAATTCTGACAAGGGAACAACTGTGAGATGTTAGCAGCTAAACTCACAGCAGCTGGGCCATGGGTGCAAATACCTGATTAGAAGGATCTGGGCGAGGTGTCAATAGCCTCTGCTGTACTACTGTGTGTGTGGTGGTATTTTAATTTAAAAAAATTGAAAGATTTTTTTAGGTTTCTAGGTTTACAGAAAAATTGAACGGAAAGTACAGAGTTCCCATGTAATCCCTCTCCATTCTCTCCCCACACAATTTTTCCTATTATTAACATCTTGCATTAGTGTGGCACATTTGTGACAACTGTAAACCAATATTGATACATTATTATTAACTAAAGGCCATAGCTTACATTAGGGTTCTCTTTTTGCATTGCACAGTTCTACAGGTTTTGACAGACGTATAATGTCATGTATCCACCATTATAATAATATACAGAATAGTTTCACTGGCCTAAAAATCTCCTGGCTTCCACCTATTCATCCTCTGCCCACCCCTCAACCCCGAACCCCTGCTAACTACTGATATTTTTACTCTCTATAGTTTTGACTTTTCCAGAATGTCATATAGTTGGAATCATACAGGAAGCAGCCTTTTCAGACTGGCTTCTTTCACTTAGCAATATGCATCTAAGTTTCCTCCGTGTCTTTTTGTGGCTTGATAGCTCATTTCTTTTTATTGCTGAAAAAATATCCCATTGTATGGATGTATCAGAGTTTGCAACTCATTTGGGTAAATACCAAGGAGTGTGATTGCTGGACCATATGGTAAGACTATCTTTAACTTTGTAAGAAACTGCCAAACTGTACCATTTTGCATTCCCACCAGCAATGAATGAGAGCTCCTGTTGCTCCATATCCTCACCAGCATTTGGTGGTGTCAACGTATTCTACTACTTTTCACAATGTAACTCTGAGTTTTTTGAGGTGTCAACCAGTCTTTTGAAGAGCTGACTGGTTTTTGTGAATCTAATTAGTGAAAAAGTCACCAAAGCTCACATTCACCTAACAGTCATTCCCGTATTATCTTTCTGTCTCTGGAAACCAGCCCGCTTTCCGAGGATCAAAGGTGTGTGCATGCATGTGCGTGCATGCTCATCTCACACTTTGGTGTCTGATGACCTTGAATTAGCAGGATAGAGGCAGAAGGAAAAAAAGAAAGGCATCTGGACAATCCACATCCTTATGTTCTGGGTGAAGGAGGAGTTATAACTCCATCAATTGGCTCATAGCTGCAAATTTGTAGATTGTGCCAATGTTGACCCTTCTGTCCACAAGCAAAGGGTCTTTTAAAGGTCTCTTTAAGGAGTTCTTGGCACATGGAAAAAGGAGTCAAATGCCTCAAGAACAAAACATACTTTACAACTAGATAAGTCTGATAGGCTCAATTTTCTAATAGTTCTTGATAATCTGAAGAGTCGCCTGTCAAATAAATAACCTATCAGGGAATTCTCAACACACATTTTACGCATCTGTAGGATCCCCCTGAAAGAGGGGTCCACTATCAGAGGTCTTCCTTCATTTGGGGCTTTTCAAAATAGAAAAGGAAGTGGATGTGACTTGATCAGAGACAGGATTAGGGGATAAAGCCAATATTTAGGAGATGAAAATCTGATTTATCTTTTCTTAAAAAGGTTTTTCAAAAGCCAATACAGAGTCTCCACAGAAAACAAAACCCAAAAGTTTCATACCTCCCAGAGATTCTGCTCCACCCCACAGACAGACAGGCCTTATCATGCAAAGAAAATTTAGGGACTATATAAACTCACGCCAGCCAAGATTTCCCTCAAGCCTCACTTTTTCTGGTCTGTACTAAGAAGAAAATAGGTCATTTTTAATTTTCCAAATACAAAATTTTATAACACATATACACCCTAACTGAGAATCACTGCCCTATTAACGGCATTGCTATTAACATTTGTTGACCAAGACGGAACATCCAATCTCTTAATTACATGACCATCTTCCTGCTAATTTGCCATTTCATGCTTATAAGCATCCAAGGGGCTAGAAGTCTGAAGAAGGAATCCACATTAGTTAGCTTTGCCCTGGAACAGGAAGGGTCTGTGTGCGTTTCCTCAATGACTTTTTATGCTCTGTAGGTGCTCAGTAAAAGTATTTTGAAATAAAATTGCTTCTGGAGGCCTTTTCTAAATAAATTATATGCCTGAACACTTCATGTCCCACTAAATTAATCACATAATAGTCCGAAACCAAAATCTCAAATATTAAATTCCCAAGATTTTGATTGTGGGCAGTGGAAAAAGCGTAAAGTAGAAGATGTTTTGGAAATTATTATCTTTAATTAAAATAGGCAAGGGAAAAAAAAGATGATAAAAACAGCACATTCAAAACCCCATAAACACATAATCTATGATATAATTAAAATATAAAATAGAAAAATGCTTCCACACTAGTTTTTCTTTTTGATCTCATACCCAATTCTGCCTACCAGAAAACTGACACACAGAGAAGTTAGAGCTGAAGTCTTGGGAGGAAATACCTGGATCAAGGGTTCCTAAGCCTTCCCAAGGAAACCTTGGAAAGGAGGTGAAATCTATAAATCCTGGATAGAGCAAGAAATAAGTGCCATCATCTCTTTCCCAAGCAGAGACATTCTGGCAATGCTCTTAACCATTTTCTTAAGAGGACAGCTTTCCCAAAAGGGGAGTCACTTCACAAGGCGAAACATTTGCTTTTCATTTTAATTCTGGCCTAATTAGATCTACACAAATGAATAGTAGGAAATAGATTTTATACCTTTCTTCTCACTCACATAGTTAAGGAAGGGCTGAGACTCAGGCAATGCCTTCCTCAGCCTCTAAGCAGCTGGTATCACTCATTGCCTCCAT